AGTATTACATTTTTTTATTTTGGTCATACAGTTTATACTCTTGTGACTAGGAGTATTACATTTTTTTATTTTGGTCATACAGTTTATACTCTTGTAACTAGGAGTATTACATTTTTTTAAGAGTAAAACTTCTTGAGGAACTTTCCATTAATGGGACCAATCTGTAGACCATCTTTGTCAATAATCTTGTAGGCACCATTACTGTAAACTTCTGTCACGATATAAGGACCATCCCATTTTGAAGTAAACTTGCCCCCTGAATGACGAGTGATGACAATTGGCCTTCGAACAGCTAACACCACATCTCCAACTTGAAATGCCCTTAGTCGGACCTTCTTGTTGAAAGCCCTGGACAATCTGGCTTGATAACACTCTAAGTGTTGTTGGGTCTCCAATCTTTTCTCATCTAAGGCTTCTAGTTCTTGGAGACGAAGCTTGGCATTTTGTTCATCAGTAAGACCTTCTTGAATGGCGATCCTGAGAGATAGAATTTGGCATTCCAAAGGGAGAACAGCTTCAACTCCATACACAAGGGAATAAGGAGTTGCTTTTGTTGGAGTACAATGAGTCGTTCGATATGCCCAAAGTGCTTCACCAATTCTTTCATGCCAATCCCGCTTGGACTTTGAAACAACCTTCTTAAGGAGATTGCAAAGGGTTTTATTAAAAGCTTTTGCCAATCCATTCACACCAACATTGTACATGGAGGAAAAATGTTGGGCAAACTTGAACTTTGAACACAGCTTGTCCATGAGACTGTTGCTAAAAGGCTTGCCATTATCTGTAATTATGTACCTTGGAACACCATACCGATAGATGATATTGACTCGAATGAAATCACCAACATTTTCCTTCTTGACTTCTCTCAAAGGTACAGCTTCCGCCCATTTGGAGAAGTAATTAGTTGCTGCCAGGATATATGCATGCCCAGCTGAAGATTTTGGTGTTATGCGTCCAATCACATCTAAACCCCAAGCATGAAAGGGCCACAATGCTATTGTTGGATGTAAAGGCTCTGGTGGCTGATGGATAAAATTGGCATGAAATTGACATGCTTCACACTTCTTCGCATATTCCATGCAATCCTTTACCATTGTTGGCCAATAGTATCCCATTCTTCTTATTCGGTAGTGAAGCTTTGGACCAGACTGATGAGCTCCACAAATTCCAGAATGCGCCTCCTCAACCACTTGGGATGATTCATCTCCATCCAAACATCTAAGGAGAACTCCATCAAAAGATCGCCGATAGAGGGTGTTACAAAAGTAAACAAAGCGTAGAGCCCTCCTCCGAATTGTGGATTTTGGGCGTGGATCATCTGGTAGCTTTCCATGTTCCAAGTAATTGATGATTGGTTGTCTCCAGTCTTCTTTCTCAATGACACATACTGAAACAACATTGCTTTCTGCATCTTCAGATCTCAAATGAGGTGAAATCCATCGTTGCGACACAAAAATAGTGACTTCTTGATTATCGAGACTTGCAATGACAGCAGCTAAATTAGCCAAAGCATCTGCTTGCTTGTTTCGACTCCTAGCAATGTGGGCAATTGAGACATGATCAAATTTCTCAAGGAGTTGAGAGGCATATTGGAAGTATGGGACAAGTTCTGGTTTTCGAACATCAAACTCCTTTATGAGTTGATTCACTACCAAGCTTGAGTCCCCATAAACATTGAGTTGATAAATTTTCATTTCAAGAGCCATCTCCCAGCTCGCAATCAAGGCTTGATACTCAGCAACATTATTGGAGCATTGTTCTCTTAAAGAGAAAGAGAATGGTATTACTTCATTTTTTGGCGTTACAAACACCACACCAACCCCAGCACCATCTCTTCTTGATGCTCGATCAAAGTAAAGCTCCCATGATGGCAATACATCTATAAAGAACACCTCCTCATCTGGAAGATCCTTTGACAACTCCCATTCAGCTGGAATTGGATGATCTGCAAGAAAATCAGCTAAGGCTTGTCCTTTTACCGCCTTTTGTGGCACATAAATTATTTCAAATTCAGACAATAATAGTGCCCATTTTGCTAATCTACCAGAAAGCACCGGCCTTGACATGATGTATTTTAAAGGGTCTGCTTTTGAAATAAGATGTACAACATGAGCCAACATATAATGTCTCAATTTCTTCGTAGAGAAAATCAAGGCTAGGCAAATCTTCTCAATGGGTGAATAATTCACTTATGCCCCTACGAGAGTAGGGCTCAAATAATAGAGAGCATTTTCTTTTCCTTCTTCATTGACTTGTGCCAGCAATGCTCCCAATGAATATTCTTGTGCAGCAATATAAAGGATCAATGGTTTCCCAAGAATGGGTGCAACAAGAACTGGAGGGTGAAGGAGGTATTCCTTAATGCTTTCAAAAGCATTTTGACATGCTTCATCCCATACAAAATGGTGCATCCTTCTTCATTAACTTGCTAAATGGATGACACCGTCCAGCAAGGTTTGAAATAAACCTCCGAATGTAAGCTAGCTTGCCTTGGAGACTTTTCAGCTCTCGAAGATTTTTTGGGGGTGGCATGTTCACAATTGCTTCTATCTTGGATTGATCAATTTCAATGCCTCGATGCCTCACAATAAACCCTAGAAACTTGCCAGAGGAAACACCAAAGGCACATTTTAATGGATTCATTTTTAGCTGATACTTGCGAAGTCTCTCAAACACAACTTTCAAGTCATTGAGGTGGTCATCACGTCTCTTAAATTTAACAACCAAATCATCGACATAGCATTCAACCAGCTTATGCAACATTCACTAAAAATCATTTGCATTGCACGCTGGTAAGTGGCTCCGGCATTTTTCAACCCAAATGGCATAACTTTATAACAATAAATACCCTTTGGTGTTCGAAAAGCTGTAAGCTCCTCATCCTTAGGATCCATGCGAATTTGGTTGTAACCAGAGAATCCATCCATAAAGGACAAAACTTCATGCCCCATGGTTGCATCCACCATAAGCTCTATGATCGGAAGTAGAAAATCATCTTTTGGGCATGCTTGGTTTAGATCACGAAAATCTACACATACCCTGAGTTGTCCATTCTTTTTACGAACTGGAACAATGTTCACAATCCAGGATGGATAATAGACCTCTCGAATGAAGCCGGCTTCAATCAACTTATCAACCTCAACTTCAATTTGTGGGATAAGGTCTGGACGAAAACGTTGCTGCGATTGCTTCATTGGGCGTACCCCATGCTTCACAGCTAGACAATGAACAGCTACTTTTGGGGCTAAGCCTGGCATCTCTTTGTAAGACCATGCAAACACATCCTTGTACTCATCGAGTAGTTGCACATATCTTACTTCTTCCTCCAAACTCAACGATGCACTAAGAAAAATGGGTCTTGGATCATCCTCTGTACCCAAGTTTCGTTGCTTTAGCTCATCAGTAGTAGCTTGTCCCCCCTCCTCAAAGGCTTCTGGGGCTGGATTTGGTTCTTCATCTGAAGAATTAGAGTCAGAAATTTTCTCAATTGAGACATGGTTTGATTCAACTGCCTTTACCTCCTCAACGGAAGGCTTTGAGATCTCTTGCCCATCAAGGACGTCTTTACGCCTCCATTGATACTTTTTTCTGTGCATAGACTTGTGCTTGTTCTTCTGAACTTTCTGACTCTTAGATGTTTTCTTATTGTTTTGCTGCTTAGCACCAAGTCTAGAAAAGACTGAAGGCTTTTGAGAATGATTCTCTTGGATTGTCAATAGTGAAGGAGCAGGCCCTAGTCTTTCAAAAACTGACACTCAGATATTTTCTTGCTGAATCCTTTCCAGGGCTGAAACTCGTAGTTGTGGAGTCCCTTCAACCTCGTTGGTTTCAAAAATCTGGATGGTTATTGGATTTGCTGACTTCTTTTTTATCTTGATCTTTGCAGGTTTAGATGATTGAAATCCAAGCCCATGCCTCTGCTTTGGAACAGGTTCTCCTCTCAACACAGCTTCCTTCCCAGTTTGGGTTGCTTGAGTACTTGTAAGGATAGAGTTCAAATCCCCAAGTTGCCGAGACTCTCCTTCTCTGAAGCCAGCCCTTTTTAGCAACATTTGAGCACGAGGATCAAACCATCCTTGAGGTTGCTTTTCATGTTCTATGGCTGTTTCAACCATTTCTTTTATAAATGGATTAGAAATGCCTAGCTTAGAGAGTGTAGACAATGGAAGCACAAGATCTTCCTTGAGCACCTTCACATCCTCTACTGAAAGATGAACTTCAGAACTTGAAGATGGATCTTTTATAGGGTGAACAACAATTTTTCCGTCATTCTTTTGTTTTATTTGTGGCATCTTGATAGGAAGAGCTTCAAAATCATCTTCTTCCTTTTCATAAAATTTGGCATCAGCAAAATGGGACTCTTCTTTCGTGAAAGGCTATTTCTCAGCCATAACACATTTTGTTTTGCCATTAGAATGATATTTAAAACAGTGATGCCAAGTTGACGGAACCACCCCATTTTCATGAATCCATGTTCGTCCTAAAAGAAGCTCATATGATGTTTTAGCCTCTATGACATGGAACAAAGCTGAGGTTGCCATGTCTGTGATTTGGAAATTGATGCGGATCTTGCCAATTGCACGTTGGCCTTTTTGGTTAAAGCCTTGGATTAGGAGTTTACTACTAGTCAATTCATCGACAGTTATCCCAATCCTCTTCATGATGTAAATTGGCATTATGTTGACAGCAGATCCATCATCAATCAAAATTCGATTCACTTTGTGATCTCAAACGATGCCACTCACATAAAGAGGCCTGTTATGTTTTTGGATTCCAAGTTACAGGTCTTCATCTGTGAAGGTTATTGTTCCTAAACATTCAGCCTTAGTTTTTGGCTTGGCCAGCTCACCTTGGAACTTTTTCGGGTCTAACAAAGCTTGTACAAGAGCAAGGCGTGTATCCCATGAAAGCTGCAAGGCTTTGGATAATTGTAAATCAGATGGAAGTTGCTTCAATTTCTCTATACTTCCATCAGCTTCGGGATCATTTGATTGGCTCTTGGAACCCTCAGCTTCTTCTTTAGATGATGGTTTGTTTTCTGTCTTGAAACTTGTGACATTAACAGATACTTCCTCATCAAAAAAATATCCCTCTGGAAAGTATTCATAAAGAGTAACTATAGCTCTTTCTTTTGAGTTCATATCTTTTTCAGATAGTGACTTTCTCTTCTTAGGAACTTGTCGAAGTCTTGTTTGTAAATCAGAACTCCTTTTCACTAGCTGACGTTGTTCTTGATTTTTTGGTGCAACTGGCAAAGCTGAAAGAAATGAATGATTTTGTTGGATGGATGGTAGTGTGGGTCTTGAATGATGCCTCCTCCTTCGTGATTGAACTGGAATCCACCCATCATCATCATTGTCAAAGGCAGGAAACTCAGAGTTTGAACACCATCCAGTCGGCTTTATCTCTGGATAGATACCATACATGATTTTATGAGGATCTGGGAGTGGCATTCCACTAGATACTGGATTACAGTGTTTTTTGCTCTTACTAATGAAGGTTGACCAACCATCGCCAACCTCAGCTTCAGACTCAGATGATGATTCCCAATCTTCAAGATTCACCGTCATAAGGTCATATAAAGAAAGAGAGCCTGGACCTCCAAAACTAGGCATGCCAGGATAAGCATAGGCTATCTTTTCTTCATCATCTGTTTGAAATTTAACTTGAATTGCCCCCTTGGGCAGGTGTTGCCCCCTTGGGCAGGTGGGGACCAAATTCCTTAGGCTGAACCATTAGTGGGGTTGGTTGCACAAGCAGGAGTGGAACTAGATTGAAGGATCCGAAGGAAACCATGGCAACATTGGTGGCAACAGAACCCTCTTCACTTTCTAGTTGTATTTTGCCTTCTTTCTCAAGACGAACTATCAGATCTTTCAACACAAAACACTTACCGATTGGATGACTCACAATTTGGTGATACTTACAGTATTTTGGGTCATTTACTCTCCCAACTTCCTCTGGGCGCTTAGGAGCTGGAAGTTCAATTAGGTTTAGCGCCAACAATTGCTCAAAAATAGCTGGCACCTCAGAGTCTGCAAATGGATACTCCTTTTGTTGCAACTCTTTCAAGGTAGACTTCTTCTTTTGACCCTGATCCTCAACAATCTTGACACCTTGTTTAGGATTTGGCTTTGGCTTTTGTTGTGAGATCTTCACAGGCGCTGTTGTGACTGCCATAGTTTCTTTTGCTTTTGAAGGTTTCACTTCCTTCTTCACATCTTTTCGAGACTCTTTTTTATCATGAGCGTTTGTTGGAAGAAAGTTACCATGCCTAGCAATTTGAATTTCCAGGTCATGGGCACGAGTGGCCAATTCTTCAAAGGTATGTGGCATGTTAGCTTGAAGGTTATACAGCAGTCCCCAATGCATACCTTGCACACACATATCAATAGAAGAGATCTCACTAATCTTTTCTCGACAATTTAGGACGAGATTCCTCCATCTTTCAACGAAGTCTATCACAGACTCATCTTTCTTTTGCTTAGTGTTAGCAAGTTCAGGCAGGCTAACAGTACGCTTGGTATTGTAAAAACGTGTCAAGAATTCTCGCTCTAACTGGTCCCAATTATCCACTGACCCAGCAGGAAGGTCAGTGTACCATTCAAAGGCTGCGTCCTCCAAGGACCAAACAAACTATTTCACCATGAGGTCCCCATAGGTGCCAGCATTGTTGCATGTTTCAACAAAATGGGCGACGTGTTGCCTTGGGTTGCCCTTCCTATTGAACTTTTGGAATTTTGGTGGTTGGTAGCCATCTGGTAGGCTTAGATTATCAATCCTACGAGTATAGGGCTTGGCATACATAAGTGAAGATTGTGAGGTTCCTCCTTGCCGAGCTCGAATCACATCATCAACTAAAAGTTTAAGTTGTGGAAATGTGAGAGATGCCACAGTAGCATGAGTAGTGTCACGGAAAGCACCTTGGAGAATTGTTCGATCTAGTTGCTCTTGCTTTTGTTGCTCCAAGCTTTCCTCCATAGTGACTTGCTTACCCCGATCTGAAGTCCTTAATGAGTCTTCCTTGTTTTCGAGAGCTTTTTCAGCGATTGAGCTTGATGCTGCTTGGTTATTCTGTTTTGATAAGTGTTGAGCCGCTAAGAGTTCTTGGAGTTCCTTGATTTGGGCATCCTTTTCAGCCACAGCTTTCCTTAAGCCTTCCATAGCTTTGAGGAGAGCATCTAGGTCACCAGATGTCGCTTCAGTAACCAAGGCAGGTAAGAGGGACTTAGACGATGATGAAGGATAGTCAGCCCACCTTAACTTTGAAGTAGACACATGACTGGGCTTGAGACTAAGTTCTTCACCTTCACTAGATTCTGAAGAGAAGTACTTGACATCCTTCACAGGCTGGAAAGGTGACTGGATGGTTAATGCTCGTTTTTTCATTGCAGCCTCCTTACGACGTCTTCTAGTGAATTGCCTCAAGGGGGAAACCAACTTGGATCTCGTCATGCGTGCTTTGGCACGAGTCAACAAGGAAGATTGATTGGAAAAGATTTGAACTTTTCGAGTTGCAAGAGGAGTTACAGCTTGCTTTGAGTCCGCCATGCCTAGAAAGATATGGTGGAATTTTTCTTCAACTGAAAGATGAGAGGCAGAGATTTCCCCAGTGGAGTCGCCAAAGATGTGTAGTCACAAAATCTGCAAAAATCAAATAATATGTATTGATTTGCAAAATAAATACAAATTATTATAAACTTGAAGACAAATGGGAAACAATCTCTGATTTGGAGTGCTGCAGTGCACGTGCTTGAGGTTTGAACAGTAACACGTCTTAGAACAGCACGATCCTCTGATTAACAGCTGAATTTTAGAAGGGCAAGGGCTTAAGTTTGTTCTTGTCCTTCAAGGGATTTAAGACTTGCGCGTGAAACTTTTCCTCCTTGACATGGATTTGGAGATTACCCTTGGCA